GTTAGTTACCATACGTCAAGCCAATCAGTCAAGCCCTTTACTTAGGGTAGGCTCCGAACCCCTCGGTGGGGACGTATAGCGAGCTGATGATGAAGCCAATCAGTATTTTCAGTAGGTCTGAGAATCGCCTATGTATTCTAAAGGAGTCGCGGACTACAGCTAGTATGTATAAAGATTAATGTAAAAACAACTCAACTAATTGATTTCGATTTTCCTAATATAAAAGTCTAACTTCAGCTGACGCGGATCACGTCGAATGTGACCTATTTAAAATATTTGCCAGTTCAATTTAATTTAAAACAACAGTCGCTTTGTGGCTTTCCACTCTGTTGCCCACAAATATTTGCTATTTAATTTCTTTTGTTGTTTAAACAAACGAAAACAGATTAAATATTTTTGTTAGTACTTTTGTATTGGGTAATAAGTAGGAAATATTAAAAATAATGTAGTCTTTTTAAGAGGTTCGTATACTGCGACATCGCGTCGGATGGATGCATGTTTGTTAGAAGATATCTCCAGAACGGCTGCATGGATCTCAGTCAAATTTGGCATAGATGTACAACATAGTCTGGAAGAACACATAGGCTACTAATTAAGTTTTTTTTTTTAATTCGCGCGGATTAAGTCGCGGGCGACAAATTGTTAAAGTAATATTTTTCGCGAACATCCATAGTAAGATTGTTTTTAAGTTGTTATGAAACATGTTTATGTTTACGTTTACTAATCACTGATAACATGTTGATTGCAGATAATAGGAAAAATGTAGTATTACACTTCCATAGAAGAAATATCAAGTTTCTTCTAAACAAGATCGTAAGAGTTTGTTTTAGTAATTTAATATTGTAGACAAGCTTTACTCGTTGTTTATCTTACGAATCTTATCTTACTAATATAAATGCGAATGTTTAAATGGATGTTTGTTTTTTTTTATATCATAAGGTGGCAAACGAGCGAGCGGCCACCTGAAATCGCTGAAATAGCGAAGTGACTGTTGCCCATAGACATACGCATTTGCATATGCGTGGCCTACATTTAATCGACGGAGGAGAGGATGCACAGAAAGAAAATATATTCCCTTCCCATGGATCCTCTCACCCTGAAAATCCACTTCAACTTCCCATCCTTTCCTTATAAGAAAAAAGGTGGGAAGGGAAAGTTAAACAGTTCTCGCTGAAATATGTCTCAGATGTAGAACATATTGTGGAAGAACACATAGGCTACTAACTATGTTCTTTTATAACTTCACGCAGACAAAGTCACAGGCGCCAGATAGTTGCAAAATAAATGGTAGTTCCAGTTCATTTACCAATAACAAGTTTTGCGGTCAAATTTTCTACCATATAGTACTAAAAAGATAAAAAATCAAGAAAATAACAACAGCTTTTAGCCACAAACTCCAATAGTATTCGTAATGCCAATTTCCTACTTACCTACCTACTCCTTATTCATCGATTTAATATATAAAATCTATAATATTAGTGTATTCAAGACAAAGTTAACATCAGGTTTAGAGCGACAATTACTTGAAATACGACCGTCTAGGTCAACATCGTAAAGCCTAGCTTTAGACAATAAAACCTCATCGTTTAACCTTCATGAGCCCCAAACGATTTTACTATAGGTCTGTCTGATTTTATTCCATCGATAAAGTCACGAAAATCTGTTACAAATTTTATTTCGTTCAAATGATTACGTTTATTTTAACGTATTTTGTAAAATAGTTAATATAGTTTGGATAATTTTGTGTTAAAATAAATCAAAATAGACGAATAATATTAATGCTTTTTCATTTCCTTACGTGTTACGTGAAAACGGTACTTACGAAGATTTTTTTTTATATTATTTAGGTGTCAAACGAACAAGCGACCTTTGCTCATATACATACGCAATTACAAATGCGTTCCGTTTAATTAACGAAGGAGGGGACACAGAAAGAGAATATTTACCCTTCCTATGCGTCCACTTCCCATCCTTATAAGAAAAGGGTGGAAAAGATAGAAGACTAAATTATAACTAGGAATATTTTCATTCAAATGTCTTGTTTAAAAACAGGCAGGGAAACATTAATCTTACTTAAAAAAGGGGAGTTTCTTTCTGCCTAACATTTTTCTACCAGATATGTTAAGATAACACATGACCTGTCTAAAATTCGACCCAATTTTATCTTGAAGGCGTGGCTATGAAAAATGTTCTTTTTATACTGTTTTCTTTTATATATTTACGTAAGTTTTTTTTTTTGTTTTTAGTTAATTTGTTGATAATTTGATAACTAAACTATTAAATTCAAACATTACAAATGTATCCTTAATTATTGATTTACTAGCGATCGCCCGCGACTTCGTCCGCGCGTAAGTAACAAAAATAGTTAGTAGCCTATGTGTTCTTCCAGACTATATTCTATATTTATACCAAATTACATTGAGATCCTTTCAACCGTTTTGGAAATACCTACAAACAAACATCCATATCCATCCATCCAAACATTCGCATTTATAATATTAGTAAGTAGTAAGATATGTTTTTTTTTGTTTTTAGACTCGTATTTATTATCCGTTCTCTATTAGTAAGAATAGAACATTTATTTGGCTCTATAGATGTAATAGCTGTCGCCCGCGACTCTGTCCGCGCGGTATTAAAAAAACTTAAATAGTGGCCTATGTGTTCTTCCAAACTATGTATTATATGTATGCAAAATTTCATCAAGATCCGTTCAGCCGTTCTCGAGATATATTAGAACAAACATCCATCCATCTAAACATGCGAATTTATAATATTAGTAAGTTATATTTCAATCTCTCAAAAAAATAAGAAAACTTAATACGAAATCTTTTGAAAGGTTCAAACAGTCATCAACATATTTCTTACGTGAATTCTAAATAAAACAGATATAAATAGCCTACGTAGAATGTTCTAAGAAAGGCATATTTTCGTCGTCCATTAAGTCATAAAGGATGAGGCAGGTATTTACAACCGTCAAGGAAAATGTCAGAATATTTTCAGCACAATCCCTCAACAAATCCACTTACGTCAGGTTAAAAATAAAAAACTACTTACATGAGCTTTTCAAATATTCATTTTGTTAGTCAAAGAGAATTTGACTTTAATTTTCGACAGTCCTTGTATTATTGACACCAATCTGTAAGATTAATCCATTATTATTCTACAATTTGTATGTTTTGTTATGCAAAAATAGATGTATCACTTTCCTAACGATAGATTACGTTTTTCGATTGCTGTATAAATTCTTTATTTGCTTAAATTTACGATTGGATGGAAATGGATTAAAATATTCAATCTTAGGAAAACTGATAACAAATTACTTTTATTAATCTACCATAAAATATTAACGAAATAAATAGTTTATTTCAAATAAGAAAAAAACATTAATTATCTTGATTTTAGGGTAAATTAATATTAACTTACATAAGTTTTGTTGTTTTATTTTTCCTTTTCATAAAACAATAATCGAATCTTCATGTTAATCTTCCACACGTATTGTTAACACAAATTATTTAATATTAACGCGGCACCATTTTTGTCTACCTTTCACCCGTCTTTTAATTTTAAAGAAAACTTCTTTTTACTACTTAACTTTTGCAATAAATACATTCAATCAAATTCTAAACGAAAAAACGTTTGTATTATTGTTAATTTTAACAATACTTTCTTAATTCCAAATTTATATTTAATTTTGATTGCAACGGTCAAAACTTTTCGAGAGTAATGACATTTGTAGTTTGTAGGTTGCCAGTATAGTCGTTTAACAAATAAATAATTTTTATTTTAATATATTATAAAAATCATATCATAGTCTTATTGAACTATTTAACTTTTGTATAAAATTTTTATTTAATATAAATAATATTAAGAGAATAATAAAATAATTAGACATAAAAAATAAAGAAAATTTTGGAGGATTTAAACTTTTGTTTATAAAGGTGAATTTTTAATTTATTAATTAATTGCTACCTAGATAGTATGTAAGTAGGTATACCTAGATCTAAAATTAATGACAGTTACCGTGGATTTCTGAGACTATAATCTTTGTTATGTCAACGATAAAGACAAGGATGACGATGTGTTATAAACAGAGATTTTGGTCTCGAATCGGCAAGGTCATCACCAGAATCTAGCAATTTCCCCTACGTATTAATATAATTGACCAATGTCTTTTGAGATTGTGATATAACCTTAAAATATAGTTAAATTTTTTTTAAATATATTTTTTTTAAAAACTAAGAAAAATACAAACTATTTTAGTTTTTTATTCTTTTTAATTGTATAGGGCAACCTAGATGCTTCATAGTTAAAGTTGTAATGTGTTGCCAGTGTTTTTTTTTTAAGGAGAAGAGGCAAAAGTAAAACAATAATAAGTCCAGGCAATTATTTATTATGTTCAATATAAATCTTAAAATACCGACAAATTTGAATGCGGTGACGTTTATAGGTTAGGTTTAAAATTAAATTGAAAAATAATTTATTGAATATTGTTAATTGGAAAGTACCAGAATTTATATAACATACTATAATTACTAATGCTATGTTAAATAACATACAACAAGCGATATTAATGCTTCAACTATATCTATGATATTGTTATTAATATAATTTAAAAATAAAATCTTATATTATTTAACAAATTCTATTAAGAAATGGAATGTTGATACTATGCAAATTATTATTAGATTTTTTTTAATCCAAGTAAAATAAAAAAAGAATTGTGTAATATTTAAACAATTAATTTGTGTTCTTTGTTTCTACAACTAATGAATTTATTTGAAAAATATTAAAATAAATAATTTAATTGTTTACCAATTTATAATAACGCCATCTATATTCTGAGATTTCAAACCTAGCTTGTTGATGCTTCACATAAAGACTTGACTTGTAGTTTGTTTGTCTGTAATTTTGTTCGTAAAGAAACATAAGTAATACAATTTTTAATACAACGAACGTATAAATTAAAATTATTATAAAGAATTAAATTACAAATTATTTCCATACAAAGATGATAAAAATTAATAATTAATAGTTGCATTAACATAGCACACAAATTAGCTATCGAACAAAACATAACAGTTATAAGACTGAAGTTTAAAAAAAAACAAGAAACGGATATCATTTGAAAAATTGACTAAAGACAGACAAATTGACATATATAAAATGCATACTGGTATACAACTAAATATTAATTTCTAATCCATATGTACGTTGAATATTAAATCTGAAAGTTTGTTACATAAAAGTAATAGTGATACAATGTGAATTGAACTTTATTATAAAGACGCAAAGTTGAAAGTTGTTCGTACATACGATATTAAGATGAATGGAATTAATTGGGAACGTCTTTGCGAACTTTGTGTCCGCGGAACGACGCCTGAATCTTAGTGGCAGCTTTGTTTAATTCAGGATCGGTCAGATCTATTTTCTCGATGTCCTCCTGCGAAAAAAAATAACTGACAATAACTTTAGATAAAACTTAAAGATTATAAGTGAATAATTACTATTGTTAGGAAGAAAATTCGAAAATGTGGCAGTGTATTGACCCAACACTAGCCTTACTAAAATATAACGTTCAACCCCTCACTAATCAATCAATTTAGGGGTGAAATATTAATAAAATTGTTATTTTTATGTAATAATAATTTAATAATGGGGGGTCCATAAATTACGTGAGGTGTTTTTTTTAATTTTCTGCCCCGCCCCCGGTAAGATGTCATGAGATTTTATTCAACCCCCTCTATTAACATAAAAAAGTCACGTGATTATCACGAAATTATTTCAAAAAAAATAATAGCTGAAAAATAAAGAGATTTTACGTAAAATTACAAAATTTATTTATAAATTGCATTTTTCTAGATTGTATCTTGCATCTTTATAGGGTTCCGTACTTCGAAAGGAAAAAAAATAACCATTATAGGATCACTTTGTTGTCCGTCTATCAGTCTGTCAAGACCCTTTTTCACAGGAATGCATAAAGGTGGAATTTATTTTAAGTTTAAGCTATACGTACCTTATCTTGTTGCTCCTTGTCTTTCTCGACTTGAGTCTGCTTGCGGGCCTGGTGGCCGCGGAACGAGGCTTGGATTTTAGTAGCGGCATTACACAGCTCTGTAGACAAATATTGAATATTATTTAATCTTACTAATATTATAAATGCGAATGTTTAGATGGATTGTTGTTTGAAGGTATATCTAGAACGGCTCAACGGAAATTTGGCATATTAATTGTAGCATTCGTTGCGTTATATTTGGCTCATTCAGGTACCGACACGTGTTGCCGGTCCAAAGGTCGACTGACGGCCCTACATTTATGCATACACTACACTAATTATGTTTAATTTTAATACCGAACGGACGCAGTCGCGGGCGACAGCTAGCATAAAATATAACACTTATTCATCAATATTCATCGTCGCCCATACTAAACTTTACGAGTTCTAGATGGCGTTATTTTCAATTTTAAATTTGTTTTTAACACTAACATTTTTTTTATCATTTCGACAAAAAGTCACATTAAAAAGACTATGATAAAATATAACAATGACTTATTTATGTTATCTAAGTTAATTCTTGAAATTCTCGTAGAGGATTATGTAAGTAATAAGTATGGTTAAGTACAATCTACTTTCACTTAGAACATAATCTTATTAGTACTACATTTCGGTTTACCTCTAATTACCAACAAAGCTCAAGTTAATACCTTAAATCTTTGGAGCAAAAGGAATCTTCTTTATACTTTATACTAGCGATCACCCGCGGTCCGTCCGCGCGGAATTAAAAAACGTAATTGGTAGGTGGCTCAGTGGTCAAGTACTTATCTACAGGTCCTGGGTTCGAATCCCGCCATGTACCAATGTGTTTTTCGATTTCCGATTTACATATATACATTTATCCGACGTTCTTACGGTGAAGGAAAACATCGTGATGCAACCTGCACATATCTGAGAAGAAATTCAAAGCTATGTATGAAGTCAACCAACCCGCACTTGGCCAGCTTGGTTGTCTATGGCCTAATCACCCTTAACTTAGGGTAGGCTCCGAGCCTCTCGGTGGGGACGTATAGTGAGCTGATGATGATGAATTAGAAGGCTATGCGTTCTTTCAGATTATGTTATATATGTATGCCAAATATAATCGAGACAACCCATTGATGAATGTTTGTATTGTCCGTTCTATAATTGATTTTAATTTGTAACTCTACGTCCTGTCCATTGTCTATAAAACGTAGCTTTGTTATTACCATATATCTTACTCTTACTAATATTATAAATGCGAATGTTTGAATAAGTAATTGAAGGATGGATGAATGTTTGATACAAGGTATCTCCAAAACGGCTGAACAGATCTTGATAACATTTGGAATACATATAGAACAGTCTGGAAGAACACATAGCCTATTAATTAAGTTATTTTTAATTCCGCGCGGACGGAGTCGGGTGCGACAGCTAGTATATCACAAAAGAAATATATATTTTTTTGGAATTCGTAGATATCTTATTGGAAGCATTTCATAGTGTAAACTTCATGAATACCTTTATCATCAGCCCTGAATTCGGCCTCCAGCTCAGCCCTGGTCGGCTCCGGTTCCGGCTGGTTCTTTGCGGTCTTCATACTCATTGATTTACGGGTCTTATGACCTCTGAATGCTGCTTGTATCTTTGTTGCTGCCTGCTCCTCTGACGCCTTGTCTTCGTTCTGCTTCTCTTCTGTGGGAGAGAGAAGGGTAAAGTGATTTTTTATCTTACAGTTCTTTTCTTACGGTGAAGGAAAACATCGTGATGCAAACTGCACATATATCTGCGAAATTCAAAGTTATGTGTGAAGTCAACCCACACTTGGCCAGCGTGGTTGACTATGGCCTAGTCACTAGAATAGGCTCCGAGCCCCTTAGTCGAGACATATAGTGAGCTGATGACATTTAGCCGTAATATAACTTGGGTTCAAGGATTGTTATAATATTTTAGTGTTTCAGTTAAATTAAATACAATTTCAATTGATTATTGACAACTTTATTAAACTTGAAGACGGACTAAATCCTTATGTGTACAATTAATAAAATTGAAATGTCTGTATGTAACATTAAAACTAAATGTCATACTTCGTACACATAATTTTTAAAGAAGAAAAAACTATTTTTAAAGATTTTGCCTTTCTGTCTGTCTATATATATATGTCTGCAAAGCTTTCTTGTAGTTAATTTCCGTAGAGGATGGACCGATTTTGATGGGTCTTTGAAGTCACGAAGTTGATGCACGCAGGAATATTAAGTGCTAATTATACGCTAACAAAGTCGCGGACGAACGCTAGTTAATATATTTATGAACTGATTCAACAATAAAATTGCGTAGTTTAGTTCGAAGTATTACGCATATGTTAAGAGCAGTAGGAGTACTTAAAAACTCGTTAAGCAAACTCATTATTTTTAATGAGTCGTATATATAATGTAAAAAAAAACATATGCAACGCACTAAACTATTTATCCTTGTTCCCACCCTTTTCTTACAAGGTTAGGATGGAAAGGGGAAGTGTATTTGACAGAGAAAGAGACGAATAGGAATGGAAAATATTGTCTTTCTGTGCGCCCAACATCGATTGAAGTTTGGCAACGCATCTGCAATTGCGAATTGTCGCCTCCTTATTTCGGTGAATTCATGCGACTTGCTGCTCGTTTGCCAACTTATCTTCTTAAATACAAAATTCTCGTGTCACAATGTTAGTTACCATACTCCTCTGAAACGGCTTGAACGATTTTTATTACATTCATTAGATCTGAGAATCGGCTACTATCTATTTTTTAATCTAAAATAAAAATAAAACTAGGATTAATAATAAAGTTTGCATAAATAAATACGTAACTAAAGCTCATGTGTGTCACCGAGGGTAACAAAAATACAGCTAAACAAGGGCCCTATCTGTTCTGCATTGCAATGCTTAGCTATAATTTGTTTGATTTTTTTGTGTATTGTTAGCTTAATTTTTTTGTTTTAAATTGTGTTGTAATGTATACATATAATGACCGGATTAAATGTCTTATTATTATTAAATAATGCCTGTTACTTTTATTGCTGACGATCTATGTAATAAAACAAGTGAATAATTGTACGTATGTTATATATATCTACTCTCTAATGTGCTGGATTAAAAAGATAATAGGAAGAGAACGGGAGGCCACGTGTTTCAGGTCACCTAGTTCGCGCGAACGTGGTACATCGATAAATCAATTTGTAAGCATCGACAATTCAATTGTTTTTTTATTAAAAACATCGACTTGTCTATAGGTTATTGGAGTGAATTCTTATTTAAAGTAGTAGTAGACGTAAATTTACACATGTTATTTTCTCTACCAGGTTTTATGTGAATATTTTGATTATACAAACATACGTTAACGAAGGCAATAAGTTAGGTCTATAGTACACAATTGAACCCAGAGTTATTTAAGGTTTAGTTAGGATATAATGGGTACAATCAAATACCTCTACGTAGCATACAAACTTAAATGACTTCTCCCAACATCCAAAACGCTTAAGCAACTATTGAATCTTACTAATGTGTTTGTTTGAAGGTATCTCCGGAACGGCTTATTGGATCTTGATAAAAATTTTCACAGATGTAGAACATAGTCTGCAAAAACACATAGGCTACTCGTTAAGTTTTTTATATACCGCGTGGACGGAGTCACGGGCGACAGCTAGATCACTTATTTGTTTCACTGCTACTTAATAGTGAATTATTAACTGTGGGTTTCTAAAACCAAAATCTTCGTTTAAAACATATTGTTATCTCTGTTTTCTCAAAAATAAAGACAGGGATGAAGACATATTTTCTACAGAGTCTACAGGTCTCAGAAATCAACGGTGAAACACCTCAAAGAGTTGCTGGAACAATACATTTCATGTTAAATTACAGTTCCACTGTACAAAATAAAGTGAATACAGAATAATTTATATAATAGCACTCGAGTGGGTTGACAAATGCTAGGGGGACGGGAAAGTTGCCCGGAAACTGGGCAAAGGTCCAAATGTAAGAGTTTTTTTACCATCGAGAGAACTAAAACAATTGCTGCTTTTCTGCTATTATGTTTTAAATTGTGTTCTTTTCTTGTTTTTTTAAACACGAATACATGCAATTGTGTGGTTTTATTTTTACAAAATTATAAGTAAATTGTCGTTAAAATCATACATTTTGATTCTACACCGGAAACTCTATGTAGACTTCAACATTAAAATCGTTGAAATAATCAACGCGCTTTTTTATTTATGGTTGTTTGAAGTTCTTACTTTGTAATTTATGTTTTTAATTTTTGTTTCTTAACAGGTACAAAAATACCATATTAATTAGTAAATGTGAAATGAATATCCAATCTTTTACCTACTTACATTGAAAATCTCTTGAATAATAATCTCATTTAGATATATAAATGTGACAAAATTAGCTGTAGTCCGCTGCTCCGTCCGCGCGGTATTAAAAAACTTAATTAGTAGTCTATGTGTTCTTCCAGACTATTTTCTATATTTATCCCAAATTTGGTTAAGATCCGTTCTGTAGATACCTTAAATCCATCCATCCATCTAAACATTCGCATTTATAATTTTTTTAAAAGTAAATAAGATTTCATTTCTAAAGTACCAGGGTTGCATAAAACTGCGTAGTCTAGATGTAGTCATTGTGACATCTTTTATCATCACTCCATTCGGCTGACAAAGCTAACCTAATTCTGTACAAAGAGCTCTTAATAAAGCCTTCCCACGCCGATGAGAAATTAGAAAGACATTTTGTATGATGTGACACAAAGGGAATCTATGAAAAAAATCTTTTAAAAAGCGAACTGTTAAATTGACGAAACGTTTTAAATGAAGACTTAAGAAAGAAAAAATCATTTTAAATGAAATTATCTTATTTCTTACTAATATTATAAACGCGAATGTTTAGATGGATGTTTGTTTGAAAGTCTCCATAACGGCTAAACGTATCTTGATAAAATTTGGCATAGATGTAGAACATAGTCTGAAAGAACACATAGGCAACTAATTCAGTTTTTTTTTAAATTCCGCGCGGACGGAGTTACGGATGACAGTTTATTAATATATTTGCAAAGATTGGATTGCATTTCTTCGGAATGATACGGACATGGGTAACTATATTATAGTACTTACCGTGGGTTTCCGAGACCAAAATTCAAGTTTAAAATATATTGTTATATCTGTTTTGTCTAGGATGATCCAAAACAATATGTTTAATACACTGATTTTGGGCGTATAAACTAACGGCTATTGATTTTAATTTCACTTAAAAAATTAAAAAATCCGAATATGAAATTTTATCGGATTTAAAACACTCCGGCCATGGATTTTTTCCCAATACCTTAATACAAATTTAAGGATAGATTATTCCTTAACTGTTTTTTTACCTTTTTTTTTGTATGAAAGGATTTTTCAATTTAAACACATTCGAAAAAACCTAACAAAACCTGCGGTGAAATTTTAAAAAATGCTCTGCCATTTTTAAACGTTCCCATGTTTCAAGTGTTTACTTTGGGAACAGGGTTTTGTGCCTTTGTTCAATTGTTTCCATCTGTTAGGTCCTCTACTATACAGAAATGGTTAACCTTTTAACTTTCGCGTTGATAAAAAAATATTGTATACGAATAAAATATTATTGATATCGCCGGCCGTCCGCACAGAAATAAAAAAACAACTTAATTAGGAGTCAGGCGTGAAGTGGAAGTAATTCCGCGTTTCGTCTGATTAGTGTGCGTCCCGGAGGCCTAATTTAGTCCTCTTTCCCTTCCTTCACTTTTAAGGAAAGGATGGGAAGTGGAAGTGGACTTTCCGGATGAGAGAATGCATGGAAAGGGAAAATATTTTCTTTCTGTGCATCCTCTCCTCCGACAATTAAAGGTAGGCAACGCATATGCAATTACGTATGTCTATGGGCAACAGGCATTTCGCCATTTTAGCGATTTCAGGTGGCCGCTGGCTCGTTTGCCACCTTATGATAAAAAAAAATGTTCTTCCAGATTATGTTCCACACTAATAGACGATTCGCGTCGATGATTAAACGTTGTGTGTTATACAATATACTAGCTGTCGCCCGTCACTCCGTCCGCGTGGAATGAAATAAAACTGAATTAGTTCCCTGCAATTATTCGAATTTTTCTCACCTTTTAAACCTTTACTAGACCTCCACAAATATTTCAAAACTAAGGTAAGATAAATCCGTTCAGCCGTTGTTGAGTTTTAGCAAGACTACCGAATAGCAATTGATTGTTATATACAAAAACTATATACTCTATTAGTTTCGACGGTTTACATAACCTTGTATTCAAAGGGTCTAAGCAAGGTAACATACCTCTTAAGTAAATATAATTCTAAATTCAGTATTGTTTGCGTCCCTGGCCCCAAAGTACTTGAGGGTAGAAACGTGTAATTTCCCGAGATTTTCCTGTTTTTCTACTCTGAAGAAGTTTTCCTTAAATGTGATCGAATATATCATTTGCGGTTGAACAGTTCCATGTAACTTAGCGAATAAATTGTACTTACTATGTTATATGTTATTTTATCAAAAATATAATATCTACAAGGTAAATAAGACTGGTTTAGACCACCTAAACTTTCTGAGCGATATTCAAGCATAATTTGCTTCAGATTCACCAAAATGTTTATTGATTTTCTTTATTATTAGCGCGAAAAAAAATAGCCAAAGTTAG